CACCTGTGACCTGGCCCTTCTGACTGGCAAGCATCTGCCTCCATGATTAAAGCCTCACTGCAATGACAGTAATGGGGACAGCCCCAGACAACCTCAGCCTCCCTCTTCCTGTGAGTGACACAAAATCATGCCCTGTATTTTAGAAAGTGTCCTTCTCCCAGGAACTCCAATGGCCTGCGAGACATAATCTCATTCATTCTCCCAAGAGCCCGAGGAGGCCAACCAGCAGCAGGTATACTCTGTCAATCCTGCCTGCCTCATTTCCAGAGGAGAGAACTGAGGCCCAGAGAAATTAAGGCCAATCTGAACCCGTGAAAGAGACAGGGATAAAGCCAGAGTCTCCTGACCCCCGCCAGCCAGCCGCCCACTCATCCCTTCCTGACTGCCTGAGCACGAGGGGGATTTTTGTATTTCTACGTAGCCATGAGAATCTGTGCTTCTTTGCAGAGTACAACAGGTGAGCCAGCCTAAATAAAAGACAGAAGAGAGTTCAGGGTTTAAAAGAGATGAGAAGCAGGAAGATGGAGGGTAGGCAGCTGGATGAGTGCGGTGGACCGGTTTCAAAGCTCTGAATTGCTGAGATCTCTGCAGATCTCAGGTAACACTGGAGAGCAGAGGCGAGCACTCTATGCTGGGCATGAAGCACAGTGAACGGCGGTCCATGACTCATATGTAAGGATTAATGCCTCGTTTATTCTTCAGGCTTCATCGGTTTCTGAAATATTCAAAACAAAGGCAGATGGCTGTGGTTTATGGTTCTGCTTTCTCAGATACGGCTGCTCAGACACCCAGGTTTTTGATAAATAAGGAACAGGGCATGGCACTGAATGGAAAGATAATAGTCAACATTTATCCATTACTGACTCTGAGGCAGATATAACTGTTCATGTGCTTTATATTCAAGCCTCCCAACAATCCTATGAGGTCATATTATTGTCTCCATTTTACTTTTGAAAGATTGAGGCTTAAGGAATATGGCTAATAGGTTCAATATGTTTTGCCCTTTAATATTCTCAGAGCTATTTAAATGGAAAGGAAATGCAAGGAAAGACTAATTCATACAGCAAGGAGTTTCTCGATGGACACTGGAATTTTTTTTATCCCCAATAATACAAGTGAAATGGCTGAATGAATAGTCAATACAAGGAAGCATACCCTACTTGCTAAAATTCATCAACAGCTTCCTGTCTGGAGAGCTTCAAATTTCTTTAGACAATCACCACCCTAGGGACTTCCCTGGTGGTCCAGTGGTCAAGACTCTGCACTCCCAATGCAAGGGGCATGCACTTGATCCCTGGTTGGGGAAGATCTCACATGACACTTGGCATGGCCCCCCAAAAAGAAAATCACCACACTAATGAAATTTTCAAACATCTAGGTATGATCTACTGAAGTCTAGCATAAGCTGATTTTTCCTTTGGTTTCTGTGAAAATAAACTTTTAACCAAATGATACAAATAGTATTTTAGAAAGAAATTTGCAGTAGCTAGATTGTATAACCCTCTGAAGGTGTGCACTATATGTTCTTTATTCCTGCCAGGACAAGCACTCACCTTTCCCTCACTCTGCACCTGGAAGTCTTCATGAGCATTTGGTACAGCTGAAAAGGCCCATCAAGCAGAAAATCTGAGAGAATGGGCACAGCTTTAGATTAGGAGTCAGAAGACGTTAGGCAAGTCACTTTGCTTCTGTGGGCCTCAGGTTCTTCATCTGTAAAATGAGTTTCTGACAATCTGCTATTCCATGACTCCAAGGGCCTAATCCAGAGATCAGAAAATATTTGTTGTCATTGACAAATATCAACGGAAGAGTGATGCCTCAGGTTTATGTGTGCGTGTATGCTAATTTGCTTCAGTCGTGTCAGACTCTGTGACCCTATGGACTGTAGCCCACCAGGCTCCTCTGTTCATGGGATTCTCCAGGCAAGAATACAGGAGTGGGTTGCCATGCCCTCCTCCTGGAGATTTCCTGGCTCCGGGATCGAACCCACATCTCTTATATCTCCTGCACTGGCAGTGGGTTCGTTACCACCAGCACCACCTGAGAAGCCCATCTCACGTTTATAGCACCGCTCTATTGCTTCAGCTCGTGCATATCACAGGATCCCTCTACCACTTTGCTGAGGACCACACACCTGCCATTAAATACTTTAGCCCAAAAGTGACACAGGGCATCTCCACTCTTGAGTGGAGTTAGTCGTGTGGCTCCAAGTAACTACAATGAGCAGGAAGTATAATCCTTTCACGCATTCAGAGGAGAAAAAACCAGATGCAGGTGAGCACTAAAAGTCTCCATTCCAGAGAGTGGCTAAATGGGATAGCCAGTGAAAGTGAAAGTCGCTCAGTCATATCTGACTCTTTGTGACCCCATGAACTATAGAGCCCATGGAATTCTCCAGGCCAGAATACTGGAGTGGGTAGCCTTTCCCTTCTCCAGAGGATCTTCCCAACCCAGGGATGAACCCAGGTCTCTCCCATTGCAGGCAGATTCTTTATCATCTGAGCCAACAGGGAAGTTGATACCCATGCTGGGGGATATTATGCAGCCATTAAAAAGCATTAGGTGGATCTTTGTTGTTCAGTCACTTAGTTGTGTCCAGCTCTTTGCAACCCAATGGACTGCAGCACAACAGGCTTCCCTGTCCTTTACCATCTCTTGGAGTTTGCTGAAACTCGTGTCCATTGAGTCAGTGATGCCATCCAACCATCTCATCCTCTGTCACCCCCTTCTCCTCCTGCCTTCAATCCTTCCCAGCATCTGGGTCTTTTCCAGTGAGTCAGCTCTTAACATCAGGTGGCCAAAGTATTGGAGTTTCAGTTTCAGCATCAGTCCTTCCAATGAATATTCAAGGTTGATTTACTTTAGGATTGACTGGTTTGATCTCCTTGCTGTCTAAGGGACTCTCAAGAGTTTCCTCCAGCATCACAGTTCAAAAGCATCAGTTCTTCAGCACCTAGCCTTCTTTATGGTCCAACTGTCACATCCATACATGACTACTGCAAAAACTATAGCTTTGACTATACAGACCTGTGTTGGCAAAGTAGCAATTAAAAAAGATCTTCAAGTTTTAAGATTTTAAAAGGCAAATGCTTTAAGCAATTTAAGCTCATTTATGTTATAAAAAGAAGTATGTTTATATACATCTACATGTGTGCAAATGCTGAGCAAAAAGTTTATCTAGATATACCCAAGCAGTGATTAGTTTTGAGGAAAAGAGCTGAATAAGAGAAAGGACACAAATGGAAAATATCTTTCAGCTTTCACTGTACATTTTTCAATACTCTTCACTTCTTTTACAGTGAGATGGTATTTATATTTATTATAGATTAGAATTGTTTTTATACTCTTAAAAAGGTAAGCACATCTAAGAAACTCTTCAATCTATGAGCTCTTGAAAAAGTTTCCAGAAAATTATTTTTTCTAAAAAAAGCAAACACATCAGTTTGAGTCAGTTAGTTACCTGTAGTTCGTTGTCATAGCCTGAAGCCCTTAGGCACAGGAGGTACTTTGAAAAATATCATTTTCTTAGGTCTGGAAAGAAATTCTGACACAAGATTTCTTGGCAACTGTTTGATGAGGACTGTGTTCAGACCAGTGAGGGATGACAGAAGCAAGATCACCCAGAAAGTTACATGTGGTTCTGTCCTACAGTCACAATGCTGGCCTCAATCATACTGGTAAACACTGGTCCTTCGGAATTCTCCTAAATTAGGTTCAAATGCCCTTTTCCCACCCATGAGACATCCACCAGCACCCCACTCCCTGAACTGGGGCTGCCCAGGGTGCAGTGTGACTGTGGTCAAGGACACCCCAAGGAGGTACTGAGCTGAGAACTCTCAGCCACCAATACTTGCAGCAGCTGTGGCAATGAGGGGCCCCTCACCAAGGATCCCACTAGCATCACACACTTAACTTTACCTAGAACCACAGTTTAACTAACAGCCTAACAAGAGCTTGACCTGGGGAGGCAGAAATCTGGGTCTTACCTAGAATAGTACCTAGCACTAGTAGACACTCAGTGACTATTTGTTGAATGAATGAATGAACAGTGTCAGCCTTGGCCCAGGTTCACAGAATCCTAAGAAGCCTATAAAGAAGATCCAGGCCCAGGACCCTTAAGGCTGAATCTCTGTGCAATGCAGAAATGAATCAGGCTGATTCTGGGCCTCAGACTCTCTGAGCCCCACCATGTTGGTTCCTACTAATCACAAAGGGGTGGAAGGGGTACCTGGAGGCCTCAGAGAGGCTGATAACCCAGTCAGTGGGTTATCCAGGCTTCCAGCTTCTTCTCATTCACCTCCCTTCCATCTGCCCCACCTGCTCACTTCTCTACACTTTCTTCTAAGGGCATCCAGAGAAAAGGGAGGAAATACAGCTCTGAACAGATGCTTTGCTGCTAGAGTGAGGCCCTGGAGAAAATAATAAAGTCATTGAGAGGAGACCTGGGGTGCCTAAATGCACTCTGAATTACATGCTCTCACTGACCTTAGCTGATTTTTGGTTAGAATGGGTTGAAGCCCTTGTAATGTTCTAGAGCAGTGCCTCTCAAACTTCAAAATGCATATGAACAAGTGTCTTGCTAAAATGCAGGTTCTGATTCAGAAGGTCTGGAGTAAGCCAGCTCCTAGACAATGCCCATGCTGCTGGTCCACGGACCACACTTGGAGTAGCTGAGGCTTTAGAGAAAGAGAATATAGGTATGTCACTTATTTAGAGTCAACATTATACATCGCCATTACTACATGGACACTTAGAGCCTGCTGGGCACTGTGCTAAGTGCATGGAACAGTCTGCCTTACTCAATTTTCAAAGAACCCTCCAAATAGGTTGTATTCAAGATAATCCCCATTTTCAGCAGGGGAACTGAAGCCCAGAGAGATCAAATAATCAGCTAGCATGTAGGGAAGCCAGCCTTCCAACCCCGATCTGTTAAGAGCCGGGGTCCTGAGGTCCTAACTACTGCACAGAAGGGCATAGCCAAGAGGCACATCTTCCTGTGGTTATGTTTTCTGGAAGTCTTCAGCCATGACCTCGGCTTGCTGAGAACGGAAGCTACCTGAATCTCGAGGAGAAGCACGAAGACTGCGTCTCATCCAGGGTGGGAGATGACGCGGGCTCACCGAGAGGCTAACCTGGGCGGCTGTACCGCTGACGCCTAGCTGCTCCGCCTCGTACCTCCTGGCATACAACAGCATCCTGGAGTGGGAAGCAGGGACCGCGCAGGGCTTCTCCGCCGCTCTCCTCCCAGGCCGCATCCGCAGTGCCGCAGCAGCCCCGGGGCGTGCGGGCGTCACCTCCTCCGAGTCCGGCTCAGCTGCGCGCTGGGTTCACAGGCGGCCGCGGGACCCGCCTTCCCGGAGCTCAGCTGAAATACTGCTTAGCTCAGCCTGGAAATGCAACCTAAATTCACCCCTTGGGCCAGCAGACACTTCCTTGCCAGATGCTCTTCCCCAGCCGCATCCTGGTTTATGGGAGGTGATAGGCTGAGCGCAGGAACCTGGAGCGGGAGGTTGAGCCGCTGCCAGCTGAGCGTGCTTCTCCCAGAAAGGCCTGGAGGGTGCAGGCCTGGAGCTGCTGCCCAGCGCTTCCTGACGACCACAGTCACAGGACGGGGCCACTGATGCATGGGGGTCGGCAGACGGGCGGGGATTGTACTTATTTCCAATCCCAAATGCTCCATTTTCTTTAGATTTGGGGTAGGGGATGATTCCTGTTGCAGTTGGTAGATCCTATTCCGTGGGGAGTAGGATCTGGTCTCATTTTCAGAGTCCAGTCTGGCAAATCTTGATACAGCTATGGGAATTTTCTTGGGATTCGACACAAATTGAGGTGTTCAAAAATTCACAATTCCCAGGCAAAATGTTTTCCCATTTAGCCCTCAGCCCATATGGCGCCTTAACACGTTCCCAGGTGGCGCTAGTGGTAAAGGACCTGCCTGCCAATGCAGGAGACGTAAGAGATGGGGGTTCAATCCCTGGGTCAGGAATATCCCCTGGAGAAGGAAAGGATAACCCACTCTAGTATTCTTGCTTGGAGAATTCCACGGACAGAGGAGCCTGCAGGCTACAGTCCATAGGGTCACAAAGATTCGGACAAGACTGAAGTGACTTAGCACAACGTGCACCTTTGTGAGAGTTAGAAGTGCCTGTGCTGGAGCAAGGCAACCAACGGGAGCAAGGCAGGCAAGTGGAATTAGAACACAGCCAGAATGCCTGTGTCTGACAGACACAGGCGTACTGGCTGTGTGTGTCAAGCATGGCCTGGCTTCCAGCATCCTTTTGCTCCATTCAGTTGGTACCCCTTGTGCAGTGAACAACATGTGCAACCATACCAAGCGACCAGTCTTCCTTTCCTCCTTCCTTTTTTTCTTCATCTATTGTTTACTGAATACCTATTCTGTGTTCTCTGCTCACCAACTTTACCCTCTACCCTCACTACTGTGTAGCTAATGAAAATCTAAAGATAAATAAGACACTGTCCCTGACTTCAGGAGGTGTATAGTCAGTCCAATAGGGGAGGCATTCATGTAAACAGGTAAATCTCTAGGACTGTGATATTTAGGACTGAATGATTTATACGTGTCAAAAATCAGAGAATCAGGCTGACTCATACCAGGACTAAAAGCCTAGGAACTTATCTCCTCAAGACCAATGCACAGTGATAGATGGTGTTGAAAGTACAACCAGAAAACATATGGTATCTAGAATCCTGACTTCTCTCTAAGAACCATGGACAGTGTCAACAGAGAAGGAACTTGCTCTATGAGCACCTTGATGGGTTTGCAACAGCATGTCTGGGAGAAGGCTGAATTGCTCTGCTATTGGGAGAAGGGAATTTGAAACAGGTTGGGGACTGGGGAACAGGGAAGGAGACAGAATGACAGAACTCCCATGGAAGAGAGGCCAAAGGAAAAAAAATTATGAAGGATGAATTTTCAAGTTACATCTGCTGTGAGGGATGCTATTGAAGTCTTTACTCTGTAAACCACCCACTCCAAAGCAAGCTATATCATTGCAGTCCACTAATAATACAGAACTGCTTGGGGTAAGGGGAGGAGACCAAGGAAGACTCTTGATCCTTTTAAGCTGTCATGAGTCAAAACCATAAGCGCTAGAGGCAAAGCAGACCGTGAGAATATTAATCTATGAGCATTCACACAATTACTGGGAAAGTCTTAGATTTCTCAGGTCATCGAATTGGGGATTCAAGGCAATTTCAGGCAGCTCGTGAGGAATAGGGAGGCCCCAGCTGATATCCATCTAGGTTGGGGCAATAATGTCTACAAAGTTGTTTGTCATGATATCCACACAGGATCACATTCAAATGCATCCAGCCGCTGAGCAGGTAGAGAGTTAAGGAGGCTGGCTGTGAGGCAATAGGGAGTGGTGGAGTCTGTGGCAAGAGGGCAAGTTCCAGTGGAAGGGGACAATAGCCACCCAGCTCCATCAACTCACAAGACCGCAAGGCTTGTGAGTTGTCTCAAGCTGTATGTGGCTTCCAGGTTAGAAGACAGAGACAAGAACCACTTGGGGAACCAGTAATAAAATGAATGGCAGTAGTCAGTGACCCATGAGGCAAGGAGCACTGGCCCAGAAGTTCTAAGTTCAGGGTTCCAGGCTCTGCTTTGCCACTAATTGTCTGCGTGCCCTCAGGGAAATAATTTAAAAACTCCAGGCCTTGGTTTCTTTATCTGTGAAATGAAGGCATGACATTTGTTGCTCATTTAGAGTCAGAGCTCCCATTATTATTGAGGGGGCAGAATGAAAAATAAGCCCCGGGTGTGTTTCCAAAAGTATTGCATTCGTTGACATTTATTGTGTGTCTACAAGGTGCATTGCATTGATCATGGGATTCTTGCTTATTCCGAGAAAGTAGACATAAACTCCAAAGGCACCTTCATTATTCAGCCTGCCTGAGAACAATGCTTTCCAAGAAGTGGGAGAAGAGGCCCCACCATAGGGAGAGGCGTCACTGACACTACCAGCAGGTGAGTTACAGAGCGTGTCAGCGATAAGAGTGTTGGAGTATTTCCTATTCAGACTGACACGGCTCCAAGGCAAAAACCTAACTGATGTTTGTTCAACAATAGCGAGATATGTCACTGGATCTGTGGGGGTGTCCGGCATCTTTTGTCAGCTTAGAGTAAGACTCTAGGGAAAATACGGGGCAGATGTTTTGAGATGAAATTATGTTTCTCTGCAGATGCCTGAAGCGTGGTCCGCTGCTTTGCCTATTAGCAAGCTGCCTTTGGCATCCTCAGGGCCATCTGCCCCCTGCCCCATTCTCCAGGCTGCTAGGAACAGAGTCACAGCTAGCCCTTCAAGCTTTATCTGGAATCACAGGACAGGGATCGGGGGTGGAAGGAGGTTGAGAAGGAGCAGCAGAGAATGAGTGGGAGAGAGGACTCAAGCAGAGTACTGAGATTTGAGTAATTTTAGGAGGCAATGCTGTTTATGGAACATTTCATTCTTGATAGCTACTGTCACATTCTAGCCATTAGGCTGCATTTACTCGTGGGTTGTAGAAATTACTTCCCATGGGAAATGAAAGCAATTCCTTCTTTCAAAGGATGCTTTGTTTTCTAGAAGAAAATAAAACATATGATGCAGCCAACTCTAGCCTACGTGCCCTGCTAGGTCAGTCCCAGTTCAAGTTCATTACTCAGCATGACCAGATGAATAAGCAACCAAAAAATAATAACAATGATAATAATAGTAGCTACAACTTATTGAGCACCTTCTCTTTGCCAAGCTCTGAGCTGAGCATTTACACATGTATTTCAATGAATCCCTAAAGATACTTGGGCACTCTCATTAGCCATATTTTACAGATGAGGAAACCGAGGCTCAAAGAAGCTACATATATTTACTCAAGTTAACCCAGCTGGGGGCTCAAGCCTGATCTGTCTGACTCTGAGGCCCATTCTTGTAAGTACCCACCCCTGGAGAGACTACATTTGTCCTTCTTGAAATAAAAACCCTCCCAGCAAATGCTATAGGAAGAAGGAGTAAACGAAACAAACAGGAGGGCACAAAACAGATAACAGCATCTTTGAAACTGGAGTCCTCCGTGTGGATTCCAGCTTTAATCTATTACATCGATTAGGTGGCACCTGCTTCCCTTCTGCCCTCCAGGTAAGGGCATCCAGAGCCTCACACATCCGCGAATTACCATGAGACGGCACTGCCGTGGGAGGATGTGGGAGCTGCAGCCCTGCTCCCTGCTGCCTCGGTCAAGCCAGCCGAATCCCATTCTTGCCTTGTTAGCATTTATATAAGACCTCGAGCTATAGCGCCAATATACTGTGCCCCACTGCCCTGGGTCTTCTCATTTTGATTAGTTACAGTGAAGTTACAGTGAATAACTGGCTTCATTTTTTTGCCCTTCACACCTGATCAAATGCCAGCAGCTCCCCAGGCCCTTCCTGCCCTATGGTCCAGCATTGAGCCAGGATGCTATAACGATGAATTAAACCCTTTCACCCATTTTTCAGTTTATGAAGAGGTTTCAAACACATTTTGCAGTGACATAATTAGTCATTGGGAGATTAGTGAAAAGTCTAATGTGCTACCTCCCACAGCAGACCAAGGGTTCCTCTCATTTCTGCGGGGAGAAAGGCATGCGGAAAGGTTTGGGTTTGGGGGTCTGATGCTCGCTAGAAGGAGGAGGGAGAGAGTGTCCCACTCCCAACTGCTTTGATGTTAGGAGTTTATCAAAGAATAGAAGGCAAGGGACTGGGGCTTCCCTGGTCGTCCAGCGGCTAAGACTCCGTGCTCCCAATGCAGGGGCCCTGGGTTTGATCCCTAGGATCCCACATGCAACAACTAAGAGCTTGCAGGCCACAACTAAACATCCTGCATGCTGCAACTTAAAAACATATATATCGTTCACGCTGTAACTAAAAAAAAATTCCTGCATGCCACAATGAAGACTGAAGGCCCCAAGTGCCACAACTAAGACCCAATGCAGCCAAATAAATAAATCAACAATAAATTAATGAATGAATTTAAAAACATTTGGTTAAATAAAGTTAAAAAAAAGAAGACAAAGGGCTTAATGCCACAGGTGATGTGGCCTCTTAAGTTGGTCATCTCCACTGAGGTGTCCCCTGCCTTCAAGGTGGTGAGGATTTCAGCTTCTTCTTTAGCCGAGTCAGCAGCCTGCCTCACAGGGGGCAGAGACCTCCCAGTCCTCTTGGTCCTGTCTGTCCCCACCAAATGCTAGGCCCCCCTCTGTCTGCCAGTGGCTGCAGGGGGCATGTTTTCATGGGCCAGCAGTCTCTCCCTGGGCTCAGCACGTGGGGCCTTCCCATGGATTCCAA